TGTGTGTGTGTGTGTGTGTGTGTGTGTGCGTGTGTGTGCGCGCGTGCGTGCGTGTGTGTGCGTGTGTGTGCGTGTGTGTGCGCGCGCGCGCGCGCATGCGCACGCTCATGCTCCCCCTGTAGTTGCGTGTGGAGGGGGAGGAGGCCTGCGAGCCCAGGGAGGCTGTGGCCCCTCAGGCCCGCCTCTTATTCCTGCCCCACCTCACAGAGCCCCAGGGGCCCCACTTTGGCTCTTCATATGCATTCTTGGAGGGAACCGATGGAGACATGCTTGGGCCCAGGGTGGCCTCGTGGGGCTAACTTCTGTCATCCCCGCCAAAGAGGAGCCCACATGCTCTGTAACCAGTGGTTTAAAATGCTACTCATAGCCAGCTACCTTCCATCTTTCCATGCCCCATTCCAGGGACTCCACTGGGCACACCCTGTGCCAAGCCTTGGGGGACCTAGAGATGAGTCAGGGCCAAACCCTACCCTGAGGGAGTCCCAGAACCAAGGCAGAGTGAGGGTAGGAATTTAAAATCCCACTCCTTGTGACCTGCTTGGTGGTCAAGAGGGTCTTCGTGGGGCTGACAACGAGAGCGCAGGGAACTGCCGATGCAGGCACCGGGGCTCCAGGGGCAGCTGGGCCAGAATGAAATGGCCTCCAGTCCCTCCAGGCGCTCCCTTCCCCACCCTGGCACAGCTTACGCTTCCCTGCCTGAGAATGCCAAGAGTGGCCAATAGCAGCCCCTTCTCCAGTGGCTGGAAGGGGAACCACTCCCTCTTCTGTGCTCCCTCAGCCTTTGCTTGTCCCTTCATTTCAGCAAAATGCCATCTGCGTCCTCCTTCCTGGCAGAGGGTCTGGGTTTATGTCTCACCTCCCTCACAGGGCTGGGGCCCTGGAACAGTCTCTCCTGGATCCACAGTTCAGGGGCCAGACTAGAGTTGAGGTCACTTTTGACTTCAACTCAGGAGGTATATGGGGAGTGGGACTGAATCCACACTGGGTTCCTGGTGTGGCCTCAGCCAGGGCTGAGAACCAAGCAGTCTGGGGCTGTGGACTTGGGCAGGTATGCCCAGGCCATTCTGTGAGAGACCCTCACTTGTAAAATGGGCCAATAACCCCAGGGAACACCTGGGCATGTTAGTTCCATAGCACACTTGTGAGAGGCTGGTATTCACTCTCCCTGAAGAAAAAAAGATTTTTGCGATAAATGCAGACAATGTCAATGACGGCTGTCCACTTAATAAGGATGTGGACCTGACTTGCCTTCCTTGGTTATGAAAGTACCTGCAGGTCATGTCAGAGGCTAATGCCATTGGCACTGAAGCTGGCTGGGACCCAGGGCCTTTTCAGAACTTGATTTGACATTTGGTTCCTGTTTCTCTCTCCACCTATGAAATGCAGGGAGTGAGTTTTCCGGGAGCCCCTACAGCCACCCTCAGTATTCCACGTACAACGACTCCTGGAGGTTCCCCAACCCGGGGCTGCTTGGTGAGTACTGGCGGAGACCTGTGTGGCCCCTGGGCCATCTGGGCCCACTCATTGGGCCCCCTCATTGGGGCAGGGTCTCTCGACATCTTGACATCTGGTCACTGAGGTGGGTGGGTAGCTGGCCCCAGACAAATAGAATGTGAAGGTTGTAATGGGCGCCTTGGGGCTCCTGTCTCTCCTCAGCTGTTTTTGGTGGATAAGGGAATATGGAACAGAAGGGGAACAGAGAGCAAAAGGAAACTGAGGGGGAAAGAGGAAGGTAGGAAAAGTGCCTGCCTAATAGTAACCTGTGTTTCTTTAAAATCTTTAAGTATTCATATGAGAAATCTCTAAATCAGAGGTAGCAAAGAGGCCAACTCAGGTTGATTGGTAGTGGCTGCCTGGAGAGGTATCTTGATGAAGACCTGAGGCCTAGTGATTGATTAGTAATGTCTGCCACTGACACCACCAGAACCAGCTCCTTTACAAACTGATTGTCTTGTAGCTGAAGGCCTGCCAAGGTACGACATTCAGGGCATAGCTGGTCCATGGCTGGGGCCAGCGTGATCTGGGGACATCATCAAGACACTTGGGCCACCCCAAAGACCAAATAGGCCAACCTGACTCTAAAAAGGCCAAAGAGAGGCTTTTGTTTTGTTGGAAGGAATTTACATGAAACTTGCTGGGAAGGGCCAGCTGAAGCTGAAGGCCCGGAGTGTGAACCAGGGCCCTGGCTCACAGATGTCACTCACCACCTGGGGGACGGAGCTAGCCAATCAGCCTGCAGGTAGCAACTCTTGTCCCTCCAGCTGAAGGTTTCCGAGGTAAAAAGTCAGACATAGAAGGGCCCTCTGAGACCACCCCGGTTTGTTTGTCCATCTTAACAAGCTTCTACTTAAGTGAGACACTGTTAATTCCTTGGATCCTTAATTATTTTAGGACTGAGAAACATAGGCTTCATGGGAAAAACAATGACCTAGTATCTTCAAACTCAACTTGCTAGGCTGTAGGTCTGTAAAGGAGGCCATGAATCTCAGCCTTGGCTACTTCCCAACCCTGTATTGGCTGTTAGGACAGACACATATGGACACCATCCCTTTCTGGCTGTCCCCATTCCATTCACGTGGGCCTCAGGCTGCCAAAAGCATCCTGGTGTGTTGTGCCTACCTTGTGGATGAAATAAGGAACAATGCCAATTAGTGTTCCAGGGTTCTGTGCCCGGGAGAGTTCAAGCCTTTCGAAAGACTAGCCTCTTACTATCTGTGGTCTTCTTTAGGGACTGGATCTGTGGATTGATCTCTCAGACTTCTTTTTTGGTTTTGGTAAAAATCACTTCTAAATATTAAACTAGGGTCTCCATTACCTCAATGTTTTTCCGTAAACAAACCCCCTGAGAGGTCTCGCTCTGAGTTGGCCCAGCTGTCAGTCTCACCAAACATGAGGCAAAGGCTGGCTCTGAACCAGGGTCTTCTAGCGGTGGTGGGGGTGGGGTAGGGGGGGTAGTTAAGGGAAAGGTGGGGAAGCAGGGGGAGGCGAGGCCTAGGCCTAGGGCTCCTCCCTGAAAATCTGCCTCAGATTGGGAGACCCACAGGAGATGTGGCACGAAGGACTTCTGATGGAGATGTGACCCCCAGGGAGGCGGTGTTGCCCCAGCCACCATATAGCACTGTGCACTGTACAAAGCGGGTGAGTGAGGGCTGGAATCCAGCCCATAGGTGGCACAAAGCCCGGAGACTTGGCACAGGGCTGTAGCTACCCAGAGGGGGCACCTTTTTCTAATTTGCATGAGGTGTCTTATAGGTTGGTAGTGGCCCTCATTTGCCTGGGAATTCCAGAGACAGAAAAGGGAAGAAGGAGCCACTCAGACAGGTGTAGCAAAGGCATGGGGTGGGAGGTGGGGTGGTCTGTGAAGTGTGGGGCCACAGCACAAATGCCAGTCTGAGAAGTTTAAACCTGACTCTGTGGGAAGCTGGGAGCCAAAGGGGATAGGGAGGGAAAGGTGAAGCTAGACTACCTGTGAGGCGTCTGGGTGGACTCCAACTGACTACTTCTCAGTTAGCAGCGAGAGCATTAACCACGTGCACCACCCAGCCAGCCAAAACCAGTTGCCATAGAGTCAATTCCAACTCATGGCAACCCCATGTGTTGCAGAGTAGAACTTCACTCCATAGGGTTTTCATGGCTGTGTCCTTTTGGAAGTAGATTGCCAGACCTTTATTCTGCGGCACCTCTTGGTGGCTTTGAACTGCCAACCTCTTGGTTAGCAGCCCAGCCTTTAACTGTCTGCACCACCTAGGAACTCCTACCCACCAGCCAGGTGTGTGGAAACCTGTTCTGAGGCTCCTTGGTGTTCCTGCTAGATCTATGGGAGCTGAGGAATGAGGCGAGGACCTCCCCCCCACACACACACGCTCACACACGCTCACACACATGTGCTCATGCCCTCACAGACACTTACATCCACTCTCACACCCCCTCCCCACACTGCTGACACTTCAGCCGCCTGCCAGAAGCTTCCTACACAGACATAGACACAGGGAGGATCAGCAATGCCACCTAATGAAGAAAAAACAACCCCTTGCACACTGGTTTAGGGGGAGAACTTCCCCCCTCTGTGCCCCTCCGAGAGAGCTGCCTCAGGGTGCCTAGCCTGCCAGCCAGGGCTGCCCATGACTCAGCATCCTGTCGGTGCCCCCGGGCTGGGCCGGAGGGGGAGGGAAGAAAGGCAGTGCAGTCAATTAGGATTAGAATGGGAGCACCGTGGCTGTGGCGCTATAAAGAGATTAGCAAGCGAGTGGGAGCCTGGAATGACTGTGTCAGGAAATAAATTGATGATAATGTGAATTAGAGAGGAAAAATGACAGAAGAAAGGACAAGTTTATTCTAGATGGAGGTCTAATGGGTGCCAGGAAGATAGAGTGCTTTGTGAGGTGATGTTTTCATTTTTCACGGTAAATCCAAGAGTTTTTTATTTCACTGAGGGGCCAGGGTCTGGAGAGCGGTGGTTCTCACGCTGGACAGCCTGGCAGAGATTAGGTTTCTAGAGGGGAGTGAGTCAGAGCCAGCAGCCAGAGGCGGCTTGGGCGGGGGACCCTGGAGACCTTCACTTCCGTGGAGCCTTCACTTCCATTTCCTGTTCCGGGGGCCATTTGTGGGGGCAACCAGTGTAGTTTTCCCCAGAACAGTGGCTGTGTCTGCCCTTGTGCTGTGTCCAGGCCTGCAGAGAAGGCCCTTCACACACACACCCCCTCCCCCAGGCCTATCTGTGGGCTGGCGCTGCACATGCTCCATGGGGGACTGTCCTGACGCTGTCTCCATCCCAAAGAAGAGCGAGCAGAGGGAGGCTGACAGGCCTCTTGAGTCAATGCTCCCGGCCAGGCAGGTGACAGAGGCTTCAGAAAAATCTGTCTCTGGGAATACTTAGGCATGGGATTGGTGTCTGTGCCTTCCCAAACAGCACAGGCGGGCACTGCCTGCTCCACTACTGCCATCGCTGCCGGAGGCCGTGCTGCGTTTGTGAGGAGGGGTGGGCAGGGAGTGTTATATCTGTTCATCAGAGCTGGGTTTGGAGGGGAGGGGGCACATGCTGCAGTGTGTCCCCTCATCCCACCTCTGTATTACATACTAGCTATATGACCTTGGATAAGTTACTTAATCTCTCTGTGCCTCAGTTTCCTCATCTGTAAAATGGAAACAAAAGTAGTTCCTATCTGATAGGATTGTGGGGGCATTGATGGTTCAGTGGTGAAATTCTCACCTTCCACGCGGGAGACCCAGGTTTGATTCTTGGCCAAGGCACTTAATGCGCAGCCACCACCTGTCTGTCAGTAGAGACCTGTGTGTTGTTATGATGCTGAATAGGTTTCAGAGGCGCTTCCAGAAGAAGACAGACTAGGAAATAAGGCAGCTCCTGGGGGCCTTATCCAAAGGATGTAGTCAGGGAAAGCAGGCTGGAGGCAGTGGAAGCCGACACTGAGCACATGGGCCCTCACACCAGCACTGTCCAGATGCTATTGGAAGGGAGTCTGCACCCTGCCCTTCTGCCACCAACGCACAGGCCGCAATCTCCCCATATCCAAATCTTTCTGTCCTCCAAGCCCAGCCCAGTGTTACATCTTCTAGGAAGCCTGCCCCTGCCAGAATAATCTTGCCTTCCCCAGAGCTCTTTTCTGAGAGCTCCGACCCCCTTCAGGCCAACATTTGCCCCACTGTTGCCCAGCCCTGCACCCAATAGGTGAATGAACAAATGAACGGGCAGGAGGTCTTCACTATGGTTTGCTCGCTCAGTATTTACTGAATGAATGAATGAGAATGTGCATCAGTGCTGCTGTTCATTTACTCAACAACCCCAGCCGAGCACGTTTCACATGCCAGACTCCAGGCTGGGTGCTAGGAGTGAACATCCAGCAGAGCAGAGTCCAGCCGCTGCCTTCGTGGGGCTCTCATCTCGGGATGGGGGAATCACAGAAAGAAGCGACTGTCCATGTGATACAACCTGCACAGGTGGGGAGTACAGGCAGGGGAGCTTCCGGAGGAAGAAACGGTGGCACTGGGCCTTGAAGGCGGTTTAGAAGTCTAATAGACAGGAAGGGGATGAGGACACAGACAAGGCTGTTCCAGGCAGGAAGCACAGTATGGGGACAGATGCAGAGGCATGAAGCACAGTATGGGGACAGATGCAGAGGCATGAGAGTATTACAAAATGGTACCTGCCCTACTAAGGCCGTTTTGAGGTTTCAATGAGATGATATATGCAGCGGATGTAGCCGTGTCAGTCACAGAGGGATTGCGCAGCCAGCAGCAGTTGCTGTTAGCATCATGTAGTTATGTCTGAGCTGCAGAGTTTCCGTTCTCTGAAGTGCGGTATGTGAGTATGGGAAGGAGAGGTGGTTGTTGTGGGAGGTAAATCCAGAGAGGTAGGCAGGGGCTAGATCACAGAACATCTGCAGGCCAAACTGATGAGTGAGGACTTTTCATCCTCTAGGTTAGGGCCTGGCAAATTTTTTCTGTCAAAGGCCAGATAGTAAATCTTTTAGGCTTTGTGGGCCATATGGTCTCTGTCACAACTACTAAACTCTGCTGCTGTCGCAGAAAGCAGCCGTAGATAATACGTAAATGAATGGGCATGGCTGTGTTCTGGTAAAAACTATTTACAAAAACAAGAGGTGGGCAGGATTTGACCTGAGGGCCAGCTCTAGGTGATGAGGAGGCCTTGAAATCTTGTGAGCAGGTAGCGGCTGGTCAGACTTGCAGTTTGGGGAATAGACTAGGACAGAGATCTTGGCGACAGAGGGCTGTGGCCTGGACGGGGTGAGGCAGAGTAAGGGACAGATGTGGGGGATACTTTGGGCACCCTCCAACCTCGGTGCCCCCTTCCGTCTCTTCCAGGCTCCCCGTACTATTACAGCGCCGCTGCCCGAGGAGCTGCCCCACCTGCAGCTGCTACTGCCTACGACCGTCACTGACTCTTGGAGACAGGCAGGCGCCAAGCACTTATGACACATATCATTGAGGGTGATAGCCTCCCGGCCCCCACTGAAGACAGCCAGAGGGGCACCGCAAGACCATCCCCAGCCACCCCTACTCGCCTGAAGCTCCCTCTCTCCCTTTTCCTGTCAGAGACTCTGGGGTCCTGTGGTAGGGCCACTGGACTTCTGGACGTTTGTCCATATCTGAGTCAATTGAAGAGATTCTCCCAACAGCGACTGGTCTCCACAAACCAACAGACAACGGCCACCCAGTGCAGCCTGCCAGCCCCCAGCTGCCTGCGCATCGCCGCCCTGCCCACCCGAGGCCTGGGAAGGAGAGCTTGCTTTTGTTGCCTCAGCAGCACCCCTGTAAATACTTTCTTGCTTTTCTTTGGGCCTGAAGGTCCGACTGAGCAGACTGCCCACCCCATTATGCATCCCGTGCTCATGATGCGTCACAAATCGTCTGGAACCTGTGCACAGAGTGTCCCCTGTGCCCTGGGTGCCCCCATCGGGTGGGCTCAGAGTATCCTTGAGACTAAAATGCAGACCTCAGAGCCTCAGCCTCCTGCTTATCTCTACTTGTCTCATGTCTTGACTAGGAGTCGCATGGGCTGGCTGTGCTCTCAGCTCCCCCTGGGCCCTCTCCCTAGGAGAAACACACTCTGGGGAGACGTCTGGCTTCTTGCCTCTGATTCCCTGGGCCCGGTGCAGTGCCAACATCTTGTCCAGATCAAAGGACCCAAAGAGAACTGTCTAGGGCATTTCTCAGCCACTGTTCTAAAGTAAAGATGTCATCCAAGGTGTTTATCGCATTGCAGACTCTGAATGTCAGGGTTCGATGGGACATAGGAGTCCCCAGGCCAAGCTAAGGAGTGGCCTAAGGCTCCCCCAACCCCTCAGCCGCTGGAACCGCTGAACTGAACTAGGACATACTTTCTGAGGCATGCCCAAGCTCAAATCGCTTTGGACACTCTCCATGGACAATAAAATTTTTACTGGAATACACCCTTCGAGACCCCAGTGAGTGGATTCTGGGCGAGCTTGTCCCAGCCATGTAGACAATGTTGGATTCAAAGGACTTTCCCCTGCGCCGAGGACCACAAGCACCCTGCAGCAGTCAGCCCGGACTTCCTGAGCACCCCCTCAGGGGAGCCCCTCCCCAGCCTCATGGAGCTTAGCATGCAGCTGGGAGTGGAGGAGAGGGAGGGGGAGGGGCACAGATGCCAATTTCGTCGCGTGGGTGCCCACCTGTTGGTACAAGGGGCCATGATGGTCAGGGCCATGGCCACAGCCCACAGGAGCTCAGAGAGGGAGCTTGGAGAACTCAGTGTGGCTGGAGTGGTCAGAAAAAGCCACACGGGAGGCTTTGCGGGAGAGAAGGCCTCCAGGGAGAGGGGCAGGGCGAGCAGTGTGCCTGAGGAACTGCTGTGTGAGCCACGAGTGGTTTTGATGCGGCAGTGCCAGGGCCACCATCTCCTCTTCTGGGGCCTCGATTCTTTGCACAGTCTCTCTTGCCAACTCAGAGCCGGCGCTGTCCAAACCTGAGAAATGTCCGAATTATAGCAATGACAGTGGACTTTGTAGTCTTGTGTGACAGTGCCCCCAGTGTCTGCACGTCACCAGATTGGCAGAGAACTAGTGCAGAGGTCTTGTCCTGGCTGCACCTCTGCCTTGCTGTGGGACCTCAGACAAGGCCCTGCACTTCTCTGTGCCTCGGATGCCCTGGTACAGCAGGGTTACCTGACAGCTCTCTCCTCCCTCCCTCCCTCCCTTCCTCCCTCTCAGGAGCTGAGGCTGTGACAGAGCCTGGGGGCAGGCCTCCACCTGTGAGCATATGAGGGTGGGTACCTGTGTCCTACCATTACTTGGACCAAGTGAGAAACAAAAACAGCTAAGGGAGTGGAGTCAGAGGGGCCTTGAAGAAGACCTGGTCTAGCTCCCCTCAGGAAAAAATGAGGCCCTGCTTGGGGAAGCCTGGGGCCATATAGTGAGACCTGTGCCCCCCACCAAGTGCTTTGCCCCCCAACACCGCTACTAGTTGGAACAGAGACCCGGGCCCCCTGGCCCCCGGCACATGGTGATCCCTGCCACCCGCATCTATCCACCTCACATCCCTTGGGTGGGAGATTGACAGTGAGGGCAGCAAAAGATGGTTCTGGGTCCACTGGCCCAGACTGGCCTCCTGGGGCTGTTAGAATTGCCGAGGAAACCCAGTCACCCCGTCCAGAGGTGGAGCCCAGCGAGCATGCAGCCACACTCTCACCTCCCAGGGGCTTGCTGGGCAAGGAAGGGAGGTAGCTGGGGCCAAAGCCTATCTCCAGGAGCTGTGATGAACCGCTCCGGTCTCCACCTGCCAGGTAGCCACCAAGCAAGGTAGGAGAAGGTATGTTTTCTGGCCCGTCTCTTTCTCCCTCCCTCTCTTCTGCAGGAAGTGGTGGGGTTGGGGGTCTGTAGCACAGTCCTTTTGGTCCCCTGCCCTCTGCCTACCCTTCTTCTGGGATGATTGCTCCCACATCTTTGGATCCTGGCCCCACCTGGTGGTTTCAGGCTGGGAGGGAGAAGGTCAGCCTTTCCTGAGCCAGCTGCCTAAGACGTACCATCCTTCCTTGCAAAGCCCATGTGGCCCCACAGCGGCCCCTCCACCCGTTCCTCTTCTTGCCCCCGTAATGAGCTCCCTTCATGCCTTTGCTCTCTCACCTGAGGCTTTGCTGGTCCTCAGATTGGATTTGTATTTATTAGACAACCACTCAATTCCTGGGCTGCCAGGCAGAAGCACAAGAGCACACAGATGCACACACGTGTTACACACACACACACACACACACACACACACACACACCTGCTCTCACCAATTCAGAGTTCCCATACCGCCTGGTGGAACTGGCTGGGAGCTGGTGAGGAGGGTTCCAAAGGACACAAGCCGTTGAGTAGCTGCCAGAGAATTCTGAATGGAACACACAAACCAGGGCTTTCACCAGCATCATGGCAGGAGGCCTGGGGCATTCCTCCATGGGCCTTCAGTTCTGTATCCCAGCTCTGGCTTTTTGAAAAGGACATTGTGAATTTTATGAAAATTTTTCAAATCATTAGTCTAGCTCCAACCTAGAAAAACTTGATAACATATCAAACCCAATATCTTTTTCCCCAGGCGCCTTAGTTAGGGTTGGCCCTTTAATAACTGATGTTTGTACGGTGCTTTACAATCCTCGACTATCCTGTGGGGCAAAGATCACGTTCCCATTTTACAGATGGAGAAATTGAGGTTCAGGGCTCACATAGCAAGACAAAGGTGAAATGAATTCTCAGATCTCCGGGCCCCATTTTCTCTCCACAGAATCATGCTTCTGCTGTGGGAGTGTATGGTTTAGAGACACCCCCAGTCCCCTAGAAACCTCTCAGACCCATACTGAGGAAGAAAAGAACAGGGAGCCAGAGGCTGGCCTGAAGGAGAGGCCTGAGGCTTGGTGGCATTGCTGGTCCAACTGGATTCCTATTAACATGGAAACTTGCTGAGTCTTAGCCCAAATTCACACTAGTCCTTCTGAGGATTCCTCCAGGTTCATTCCCTGCTGTGCTCACAGATGATTTGGGGCTTGTCCAAGGTCATGCCTCAATTGTGAGGGACCTGAATGCAGCCCCAGCTCTGACTCCTGGGGCCCAGGGCTCCCATGTCCTTCCTGCTGTGAGAAGCAGGCATGCCCAAGCCAGGGCATGAGGGGCACACAGGCCTGGGAAACACAGATTCCAATCTCTAGGGCCCTGAGCTGACTGCTCACAGGCAGGTGGCATCGCTTTTCAACTGAGTCTGAAAGTGGTTGCCCCACTGAACGGCAGTCAAAAGTGAGAAGATTTTAAATGCTCTGCCAAAATATGTCTGTCAGCCAGATTTAACTGGCTGCTGGCTTGCACCCCGATCTTGGCCCAATACCCCCTTTCTTCTTCTCCTCCTGTCCTTCGCTATGGTGCTGGAGGAGAGGGAGTCAGAGTAGGGAGAGATGTGCCTCGGGTTGACCAGCAAGTCAGTGGCAGAAATGGGCAAACCCAGGTCCCTGCTGCCTTCTCATCCCTGTCTTGGGCTCTGCAGGTGGTTTGGGCTTTAAAAGTGGGGTGGGATAGAGCATCAGATGTGGTGGAGTAGGGGGAGCCGTTGGCTTTTAAGGGAAGGGAAATGCTGGGGGCCTTTTCACGTGTACAGGGAAGAGCCCCAGATGTGGCCCACAGGGCACTGATGGGTGAAATCCCTTTATGAGAATTCACATCCCAGTGCCACTGCCCTGCCTTTGGCAGCCTGTGGTTCCAGCCCCACCCCCCTCTCTGGATGACATTTCAGCTAGAATTTAGCATCAAGCTATAGGGAGCAAATCTTAAAAACAAAGCAAGCACTCCCAACAAATACCTGGAAACAAGATGTATCTGAGATACAGCTGCCCAGGACAGTAGAGAAAAGTCCAGGCCCCTGGAGAGATCAGGCCCAGATAGGTGTGGGTGGATCCCAGCTCCACGGTCATCCACGTCCTACCTTCCATAGAGGCCAGCCCCGTGGCCCTGGCCCTGTCACCCACCTAGGAGCCTGGCTCGGATGGCTTCCAGGCATGTACACCAGCACGCCTGGGGAATATATTCCTCTAGTTCCTTTGGCCTCGGAAAGGTCCAAGGCAAGTGCATTTTAAAAAGGTAATAAAATACATTATTGGAAAGTTGGACAGTTCAGGCCATGACTCCTAGCCCACAGTCTGCCCCACCTCCCGGCAGCCGCTTCAGCCCCTTGTCCGCTGTTGTTGCTGGATCTCAGGATTCCCTCTTGCATATTCATACAGGAGCCACGGTGTTGATCCACACGTCCCCACTGTCAGCTCCCAGCTGCACCTCCAGAGTGGCGGCCAGGTCCCAGGGGGCCAGCCGCAGAGGACTGCAGTGAGCCCTTGCCCACCCCCTCTCCTAACAGCCTACAATGTCTCCTAAACAGCCGCTTGCTGGGAGCAGGTGGACCCCAGGTTTTCATTCACTGATAATTCCTCTGCACTCAGGCCCTGCTCCTGAATGCCCCAGGATCACAGAGGACGTCAGAGCACGTCTCTGCCATTCTAGAGTTTCAGTCCATGTGTTCCCAGGGGTCCCGTTTAGCTCGTCTCAGAGTTGGGGGTAAACATAGCCACCATTCAGTAAGTCTAGATATTCTTTTCTTCACATCTTCAACCCCTGAGTAGCAGAATAAGAAATCGCAGCTGTTTATCTATTTATTGTGGGGATCTTAATGAATTCTCAAATGGGGTTTGGACAGGAGAGACAGAGGGCAGGAATCCTGCCCTTCAGCTCTGAGCAGCCTGAGCATGGGGTACGGGAAGGGAAGTGTGGGGAACAGCAGAGGA